GCCGGCCAGCGTGACGGCGCCTCGTCCCCATGTGCCCAGAGGGGGCGGCATCGTCCAGCGGTCTGTGATGGTGCCGACTACGATGCTGGTGGCCGGCGTGGCGTGAATAAGACGCTCGATGCCGCCCTGCCAGCCTTGCACGTGGTAAAGTGCCTCCTCCTTGGCTGCTGCTGATCCTGGTGGGCGAAGTGTGGAGGAGAGAGGAGATGGAGATGCGGTGAGGGGAAGGAGATGGACAAGGTTGAGCGGAGCGGCGCTAGTTGGTGAAGAGGGCGGGTTGATGGTGAGGGAGTGGCGATGGGGATATGACAATGGATGTGAGTGGATGAGCATTTCAATGCAAGGGGCTGTCATGGAAACGAACAGGGTGCAGGGCACAGGGCACAGGGCACAGGGCACAGGGCACAGGGCACAGGGTGTGTGATTACCTTTGGGTGGGAGAGGGCCGGGTGGAGCATTATAGCAGGTGAACCAGTACACCTGCGTGGGTGTGAGAGGATACATGCCCGCCCGCACCCCCCTCCCCCACGTCAACCCCACTCTCCCCCTCTCCTCCCCACTCCCTCCCACCTCAGCATCACCCCCACCACCGGTAGCAACAGCGAGATCTGCGGAATCTAGTTCCGCCACCCCACGTGCCGCCCGGTATCCGGCGTAGTTGGTGGGCGGCAGGCCGAGCCAAGATGAGACCGCTGATGCATCCCCATCACACCCTATAAGCGCCTTGGCTTCGATAGTAGCACCGTTGGATAGAGTCACATTCACCGGGGAGGCAGTGGTGGTGGCGGTGGGTTTGGGGATGTGGGTGATTGTGGTGGCGAATCGGATGGTGCCAGGTGGCAGTTGGGCGGCCATGCAGGAGAGCAGGTGGGCGCGGATGACTCCCCTCACCTCGTGGTCAGGTCTGCATGCCATCCATCCATGTCAATGCGTCACGTGCCATAACCCATTCATGCCATACCCCATTCATGCCATACCCCATTCATGCCATACCCCATTCATGCCATAACCCATTCATGCCATACCCCATTCATACCATACCCCATTCATGCCATACCCCATTCATGCCATACCCCATTCATGCCATACCCCATTCATACCATACCCCATTCATGCCATACCCCATTCATGCCATATCCCATTCATGCCATACCCCATTCATGCCATACCCCATTCATGCCATAACCCATTCATGCCATACCCCATTCATACCATACCCCATTCATGCCATACCCCATTCATACCATACCCCATTCATACCATACCCCATTCATGCCATACCCCATTCATGCCATATCCCATTCATGCCATACCCCATTCATGCCATACCCCATTCATGCCATACCCCATTCATGCCATACCCCATTCATGCCATAACCCATTCATGCCATACCCCATTCATACCATACCCCATTCATGCCATACCCCATTCATGCCATACCCCATTCATGCCATACCCCATTCATACCATACCCCATTCATACCATACCCCATTCATGCCATACCCCATTCATGCCATATCCCATTCATGCCATACCCCATTCATGCCATACCCCATTCATGCCATACCCCATTCATGCCATACCCCATTCATGCCATAACCCATTCATGCCATACCCCATTCATACCATACCCCATTCATGCCATACCCCATTCATGCCATACCCCATTCATGCCATACCCCATTCATACCATACCCCATTCATACCATACCCCATTCATGCCATACCCCATTCATGCCATATCCCATTCATGCCATACCCCATTCATGCCATACCCCATTCATGCCATACCCCATTCATGCCATATCCCATTCATGCCATACCCCATTCGTGCCATACCCCATTCATGCCATACCCCATTCATGCCAAACCCTACCCATTTCACACAACCGCCATCCCACAACACCACATCAACCACTACATTGCTTCCATAACAGCATTGCATTCCCATTGCACCATCACCATCACCAGCATTCCATAACAACCGTCATCGCACACAGTATGGACGGAAGGCGGGGAGGGCGGAGAGGTATATGACCGGGGGGCATATGACAGGTATATGACCGGGAGCATATGACAGGTATATGACCGGGGACATATGACAGGTGGCATGTAGCATGTGGGAGAAGGTGACATGAGGCAACAGACGGAACAGCACTTCTGAAATAGAACAAGGCAGCAGGTGGCAGAGGAGTGTGGTGGAGCAGTGGAGCAAAACAAAGAGTACCCACCCCACATTGCAGTCGGCAAAGTCAAACGAGCGCAGAGTCGTGCCGTCTGCTGCTGCGATGTCAATGCTGGTGGGGATGGGGAGTGGCGAGTACAGTGATGCAGTGTGCACATTGTTATGCGAGCACACATTGTTATGCATGACAATGGATGGATGATGAGATGGGCGCATGATAAAGCGACTCCTCAGAAATACACCTCCCCGCACTCCTGTTTCCCCACCGCGCTTCCCCCCTGCACCCAGAAATCTCCCCCCCCTCCCCCCCCACATTCGACCCCCACCCTTCTGCTCCCCGCCTCCTCCCCACCCCCCCTTCCCCTCTTCCTCTCCCCCCCCACGCCCCTCTCACCCCTGCAGCCGCACATAGTAGGCGCGCAGCAAGCACGAGGTGAGTCGACTAAATAATCATCCCCCCCTTCCGCGCGCATCCCTCACCCCTGCAGCCGCACTTAGTCCGCGCGCAGCAAGCACGAGGTGATTTTTCAGTAGACTGAAAACTCATCCCCCTCTCCGCCACCCCCCCCCCTTCCGCGCACGCCTCTCACCCCTGCAGCCGCACATAATCGGCGCGCAGCAACCCAGGCGATTTTGGGTCGACTAGAAAATACTCCCCCCATCTCTCACCCCTGCAGCCGAACATAGTCGGCGCGCAGCAAGCCCGCCACCCCGAGCGCGTCCAGAGCGCGCCAAGCGTTGCCCCACAGGCTCAGCGCCGCTCCTGATTGGGCAAGAGCCGGCGCCCTCTCCACCACTGCCACGTCAATGCCCACGCTGGCGCGCGCGGGGGGAAGGGCGCGGAAGGGCCATGAGGGGAGGGACAAGACAGGGTGAGGGGGAGGGGGGAAAGGGAGAGGCTTAAGAGGAGAGGGGGCGGGAAACGGGAGGGAATACTCGAGCCATGGGGGAAGATTGGGTAAGAGTGGCCGGAGCAGACGCGGGAGGCGGCGGTGGTGGAATGGGGTTGCAAGGAGGGGGTTTGCATGGGGGGGTGACAGTACCGATGCAAGGCGAGATCAGTGGCTAGTCCCGCGACTCCAGCGCCCACTATAAGCACATCAACGCTCTCCCTAACAGCGGAGTCGGGCTGCCGTGCTGCCTGCGTGCCGCGCTCCGCTGCTGCGCGCACGCGGAGGGACGAGTGTCGATCTCGAGGCGAGCGGTGAAGCGCACTTTGCGTCGGTGATTCGTTTGGAGAGACATGACGAAAGACCCGGCGTGAGGCACGGCGAGAGGAGGTGCGAGAAAAATGATGCGGAATGGGAGGAGACGGGCAGTTGCTGTGCTGGCGTGGCACGTTAGATAAAATGAACCGCGATTCGTGCCGCAAGAGGTGGCAGGGTTGACGAGGCGCGTAATGGACGGGTGATAGCGACGCCATCGCTCCAGGTCATCCCAGTGAATTTGCTGCTCGCTGCTGTGCGTAGAACTAGAATGTGTAGAGGTCTTCTCATCTCATTGGGTATTCAGTCTTCTTGGCTTATATTTCCAGTTTGTCAGAGGAGTCTCAAAATGTGTAACCTCAGTTTCGTCACGTGTCAAATGTAACGGTTCAATGCGTTGCATTGCGCCACAGAGTGGTTCATGCGAATCACCGTTTTGCACCCCTCAATAATGCACCAAACCCGCGCGACAGCTGAGATCGAATTCGTCGCGAACCACACGCGTTCCGCCCACATCGCCACAGCAACCATCCACCAACCAACTTCGATTTATGAATCAGGTATATCCATCAGGACATCTGCCATTGCAGTCATTCCCAAGAGAAGTAATCTGAGCCACAGGAATATCACTCCCATGACTGCGATGAGCGCCGCGCCTGCTCTACTACCCCCGTGCTCGTCCACTGCGCCGTAGCCGACCCGTCGCGCTTGAAATGAGGAGGAGCTTTATGCTGTGCGGCGCTTCGTTCCCAATTTGCGATTCCGCGCGCCTCGGGCGAGGCAGACAATGCCGTCGGCATCGCGTGTGTCGCCTAGGCGCTACCACCTTCTCATACGCTCGCTCGTAGGCCGATCAGCGGCTAATTCCAGCGCGATTTCGTTTTCGCGTTAATTGTTGAGACGACAAAAAGTTACCTTCTTACCATCGCTCTTCGGCCGATCAGCAGAAAATTCCGATCTCGCGCGGTTCTTTCCGTTAACGAGTTCTCGACACGCTGTTCTCCTGGCGCCGCCTTTCACATCCGACTAAAGCGTGCTCTCCACAGTCGACAGCGTCAATCCGGGCGCTTTCTTGAGACGCCTTAAAACTCCGCGACGGCGTCACAGCGCGCTGCCTGCTCTCGTCAGGTTGATCTCGCGTCTGCTCACCGATTCGTGAGATATTTGAAAGTCCGGCGTTGTCTCTGACCACTTGATAAGAGTTGAGTTTTGAGGCGTCTCAAAGATCACTTCTTTGACATCTCGGAAATCAAACGCGTGTCTTTTCGCCGGTTCGCACCTCGCGGCGCGCGCGCGATCCCATGTGGCCGTGGGGGAGGCAGCGGCGCGGGGGGGGGTACGAGAGCGTGCAGCACGACGACCCCTCGCCCACCTTCCGCTCGCGCTACCTCCAGCAGCGCGCGCGCAAGTCCGCGCGCGCGCCCGGCGCTGGCGGCGTGCTGCGGTGCTGCTCGTGCGCGACGGTTGTGCTTGTAACGGTGGTCGGCGCGGCGCTGCTGCTGTGGCTGCTCGGTGTGAACCCGTTCAGGTGCGTGCGACGGATGGGGGAGGGTGGCGGTGAGATGCATGCGACGCACGGATGAGTCGCGCATGTGTCGTATGCCCCTCATGCCCATCATGTCGCTCTGTCACTCCTTTCCCGCTCCCGTTTCCGCTCTTTCCGCTCTCGTCCCTCCCGGAATGTGTTCCCTAATCCCCCTTCCCCGTTTTCCCCTCCTCCATCTCTCTTCCCGAACTCCGCCAGCCATGCAACCACCCTGGTGTCCCGAATCAAAGGCGCGCAAGGGGCGGGGGGCGCGCAAGGGGAAGGCGGAGAGGGGCTGACGGCGGAGGGGGAGTGGAACAGCGGCGGAGCGAAAGCGGGGGAGTGGATGTGGGAGGGGGGTGAGGGAGGCGCAGGGCAGCAGAAATGGGGCGAGTGGGGAGCAGGGGGGGAGGAGAAAGAGCCGGGTCAGACCCTGCCTGCACCAGATGTACCCGGATTCTTGAATACCCGCCCGATACCCAACCCTGATTTCCCCACAGACGAGGGGGGGTCCGAAGGCAGAGGTTCAGGGTTGACGCATGGGGAGGAGGAGGACGGCGAGGGGGAGGGTGGTGGTGGGGCGTATGACGCAGAGACGGGAGTGAGGAAGGGGAAGGGGAAAGGGAAGGGGAAGGGGAAGGGGAAGGGGAAGGGGAAGAGGAAACCGAGGTATGGGGGAGGTCCGGATGATTGGGAGGAGGTGCATGAGCAGCTGATCACAGAGGCTGATACTATTGCAGGGGAGGCTAGGCTCGCTGCTAATGAGGCTGAAATGGCCGCTGCTACTGTGGGGGAGGGCGGTGGGGGGAAGGAAGGGGGGAGGGGGAAGGCGGGGGGGCTGACGCGGAGAAGGTATGAGCCTGGGGAGGAGGAGGATGGGGTGGAGTTGAGGGGGGCAGGGGGGAAGATGAGTCGGCGGAAGAAGGAGGGGAAGCGGACGGGGGAGGGGGGCGGGTGGGGGAAGAAGAAGAGGAAGAGGAGGGAGGAGGATTATGAGGAGGAGGGGAGGGACGATGGTGAGTTGGTTATGGGCGAACGTCGTCTCCTCTCTGCTCTGCTCTGCTCTGCTCTGCTCTGCTCTGCTCCCATTGCACTTCCCTTCTGCCTGCACCTCTTTCTTCTTCTCGCATTCCTCATCACCAGTCTCGCTTCAGTGACTAATCACTTCATTCTCTCTTTTTCCCCCATGCGCCCTGCTCCTCCCTTTCCTCCCTCGTCTTCCCCTTTTCCCCCCTTCAACCCCCCCCCTCCTCTCCCGCTCTCCCTTATGTGTCCATCGCCCCGTTTGCTCGCAGAGGAAGCAGAGGAGGATGGGGTGGATGAGGAGGCGAGGGAGGAGGAGGAGGAGGAGCGGGAGGAGGAGGCGGAGATGGAAACGGACGGCCCAGATGACTCCGACGAGGATGACAACGACAGCAGCACCTCCCCCCGGGGAGGGGGTATGCGGGGGCGCAGCAGTGTGCTGGCAAGGCGCATCCCGGGCACAGGGGTGCGGGGGGAGGAGCAGGTGGGGCGCGTGCGGCGGCAGCTGGCGTGCCTGGCAGGCAGGGAGGGCGGGCGGTGGGCGCTCAACAGCACGCCCCGCTGGCTGCCGTGGGACCTAACAGCCTCGCGCCACCACCATTCGTCTCGCCACCCCAACCACCGCTCCTGCGATCAACTCTGGGCCAAAGAGTGAGTGAGTGGGGCAGGGAGAAGGGAGGGCGGGCGGTGGGCGCTGAACAGCACGCCCAGGTGGCTGCCATGGGACCTGACAGACTCGCGCTACCACCACCACCACGCGTCCCGCCACGCCACCCCAACCACTGCTCTCCTGCGACCAGCTGTGGGCCATAGAGTGAGTGGGGCAGTGATCCCGCTTCCTTCCTCGCCCCTCTCCCGTCGCCCGTGTCTCATCCGACCCACCCACGCTCCTTGCTCGTGTCCTCCTCCTCCTCCTCCCTTCTCAAGCTAGCCCTCCACTCACTACCCTGCCCCTACACCACTCGTTCTCCACACCCTCACTCACCACCACACACCACCCACCCGTGTGGAGCAGGGCAGGCAGGGTGTACGGTGCAGCATTGGGAGGGTGAGGCAGAGCAGTGGCAACTGCAGCAGTGGGGCAGCGCCTATATTCCTAGGCGCCTCAATAATCCAACATCTTATCCTTTCCTGCCCTGTCCCATCCCCAATCACCCACCTCTATGGAGCAGGGAGGGCGGGGTGTATGGTGCAGCAGCGGAGAAGGCTCGGCGGCGGGGGGATGCAACGCGGTGGCGGGTGCGGCGTGCGGCGCTCTACGAGTGGCAGTCAGGCGACGCCTCGTGCCCTCTGCTGCCCTTCCAGCGCACTGCCTTCTGCCGGGCTGTGCGCGGGCGCAATGTGGTGGTGGTGGGGGATGCGGGGGCGTTGGATTTACACGATGCGCTGCTGAACCATCTTGTGACGGCCCACACCCGCCGCATTGCTGAGCCGTTGGGAGATGCCTGGTGGGTGCCAGTGGGGGATGAGTGCTTGGTGCTGGGATTGGTGCTTGCGGGGTGCTTCCTAGTGGTGGATGGTGGATGGTGGATGGTGGGGTGCCTGCATTGCATTTGGCAACGTGGTGGTGTTGGGTGATGGAAGGGGGCGCTGGATTTACATGATGCGCTGCTGAACCACCTCGTCACGGCCCACACCCGCTGCATTGCTGAACCCCTTGGGGACGCCTGGTGGGTGGCTGGTGCTGAGTGGGTAAGGGGGACTGGGTGATGGGGGGCCGGGGACTGGGTGATGGCTGGTGGGTGCGCTGCTGAACCACCTCGTCACTGCCCACACCCACCGCATTGCCGAGCCTCTTGGAGACGCCTGGTGGGTGCTTGCTGGGGGACGGACGATGGGTGATGGGTTGGGGGGAGGGAGGGGTGGGGTGGTGGGTGCTTGCTTGGGAATGACCGACTTTTTGTGTTCGCCACTACCAACTGTGTTTATGCTCGCTATCCCCATCTGTCCCCTCTTCTTCCTCCCTCCGTCCCAGGGCCAATGCCACAGAGGGCGCATGCTACGAGGCAGGCCATCCTCTCTGCACCGACGTGCGCCTCTCCCCCTCCTCTCCCTCTTCCTCGTCCTCTGCCTCCTCCTCCCGCTCCTCCCACCTCCCCTCCTCCCACTCCCACTCGCGCACGCGCTCCCGCACCTCCTCTTACACCGGCGGCCACAGCACCACAAGCAGGAGAAGCAAGCAGGGGGGCATGAGCACCCAGCGGCAACGGCAGCAGCGGGAGATGAGGGAGGTAGAGGAGGAGAAAGAGGAGGACGACGAGGAGGAGAGAGTCGGCCAGCATGAGTGGGAGAGGAGGGCGGAGGAGGAAGAGGTGGGGGAGGGGAGAGTGGGCAGACATCTGATGCGGTACGGGGGAGGGCCGGAGGAGAGCGAGGTAGGGGAGTTGAGCAGAGGGGGGATGGGGGAGGCGGAGGAGGAGGAGGAGGAGGGCAGTGCGGGGTCAGCGGGGTTCAACATGCGCGTGGTGCTCAACCCATTCCTGTCCCCGGACACAGGGCGAGTGTCCTCTGTGAACAACCGCTGGGTGAAGAAGCTGAGGCGCTGGCGCACTGGCATCCTGGTGCTCTCCCGCACCGCGCGATACAAGAGCAGTAAGCCAGTGCTTGAGTGATGCGTTATGCTTAAAACCTCTATGCTTTGACTCTTGAGGCACCCCAAAAGTCGCCTCAAGAGGTGCCTGCCTCAGAAGCGGGGTTCAGCATGCGGGTGGAGCTGAACCCGTTGCTGTCCCCGGACACGGGGCGAGTGTCCGCTGTGAACACCCGCTGGGTGAAGAAGCTGGGGCGCTGGCGCACTGGCATACTGGTTCTCTCCCGCACCGCGCGATACAAGAGCAGTGAGTCAGCAGTCGGAGCCCCTGTGGTGCTTTTATGGGCATTTGTGGTCTTGAGAGCATGCAGTGTGCTTCAACATGATGACTGCGACGATGTGAATCACCCCTGTCCCCGTCTCCATGTCCCCTCTCTCCTGCCCCCAACAGAGCGCACGCTACTAAGGGAGTTACGGGCCACGTTGAAGGCGGTGAGGCAGCGGCATCCCAATCTGCTCATCATCTGGCGCAACTCCCCCGCGCCACACGACCACTGCGACGACGCCCCTCTGCCCCTCCGCCCACCCTGCATGTACCCTGCCCTTCTCCCCCCCTTCTCCCCCTTGCCCCCACCAGAGCGCACGTTACTACGGGAGTTACGAGCCACATTGAAGGCGGTGCGGCAGCGGCATCCCAATCTGCTCATCATCTGGCGCAACTCCCCAGCGCCGCACGACGATTGCGACGATGCCACGCTGCCCCTCCGCCGCCGCCCCCTCGCCTCCTCGTCGCGCCACCGCGAGATGAACGAGATCGTCAAGCCGCTGCTCGAGGTGAGGCTGGGATGGAGGTGAGGCGAGGCTGCTGCATAAGAGGCTGGGATTAATGGCTTTGAGGCGCCACAAAAGTCGCTCCCTCGCCTCCTCGTTGCGCCACCGCGAGATGAACGAGATCGTCAAGCCGCTGCTCGAGATGAGGGTGGGTGGGTGGGACTGCTGCAGGACGCAGGTGAGTGAGGCTGGTGGGGCACCACCCACCCAGCACCCACCATGTCACCCCTCATCCCTCCACTCACACACGAGTGGCGTTCATGCATGTGGACGCCACCACCTCTTCACTTAACTCCCATCAACGCATTCCTACGACCTCAATCCCCCACGCCCCGCCATCAACGCACACCACAGTATATGGATGTGGATGCAGCCACATCTCTTCCATGCATCCCTTTTTCTCTTACAACCCCCACTTTCCCGTACCTCCCCATCTGTGCGTGCAGGAGTACGGAGTGGTGTATATGGATGTGGATGCAGCCACCTCGCTGCGCCCCGACGGGCACCATGTGAGGAGGGACGGGTCGGTGGACTGCCAGCGCTACTGCATGCCCGGCCCGCTCGACCACTGGGTGCATCTGCTCTTCAACCACCTCCTCCTCCTCAACCGCCACACCCCCCTGCCCTCCCGCTCCCCTCTATCCCACGCCGCTGCTGCTGCTGCCTCTGCGACCCCGGCTGGTTTGGGTGGGGGAGATAGTGGGGAGGGGAGTGGGAAGACGGATGGAGGTGGGAGTGTCGGTGGGGGTGCAAAGGGGACGGACGAGGGTTCGGTGGCAGAGGGTAGAAATGGGAGCAGCTCTGAAAGTGCTGGTGCTGCTGCTGCTGGTGATGGTGCTGGGATGGGAGGTTCTGGCAGTGGTGAGAGAGGGGACGGTGGAGGGGACGGGATGGGCAGTGGGAGTGAAGGGAAGGAGGGTGTGGAGGGGAGAGGAGGGGAGGGCGAGGAGGGGAGGAAAGGGGAGGGTGAGGAGGGGAGGGGAGGGGAGGGCGAGGAGGCGAAAGAAGGGGAGCGTTCAGGAGTTGATGGGGCAGAGGGAGGAGATGGTGGAGGGAAGAGGGGTGGAGAGGGCGAGGGTGGGGAAGGTGAAGGGGAGAGGGTAGGAGGGAAGGGAGAGAGAGAGGAAGGTGGTGAGGTGAGAAGTAGGAGAGGCGAGACTGAGGGGGAAGAGAGCGGGCTGGCTGGGAAGAAGGTAGATGAGGGGACGTTTGAGAGGGGGGAGGAGGAGAGTGGAGGAGAGGAAGGTGGAGAGGAAGAGGGAGGTGAGGGAGGAGGAAAGAGCGAAGGGGACGAGGAGTTGGGGGGGAAGAAGGTGGATGAGGGGACGTTTGAGAGAGGCGAGGAGGAGGGTGAGGGTGAGGAGGAGGGAGAGAGTGAGGGAGGAAAAAAGAGCGGTGGGGATGTGGAGTTGGGAGGAGAGAAGCTGGATGAGGGGACGTTTGAACGAAAGGAGGATGAAGGCGAGGGCGAGGGTGAGGGGGAGGGTGAAAGGGAGAGTGAAAGGAGAGGGGAGAGCAGAGGGGAAGACGAGCAGGGAGGGGCGAAGGTGGATGAGGGTACTTTTGAGAGGAAGGAGGAGGAAGGTGAGGGGGAGGGCGAAGGGGAGAAGGAAAGTGAAGGGGATTTGGGCGGAGGTAAGGTGGACGAGGGGACGTTCGAGAGAAAAGAGGAGGAGAGTGACGGAGAGGGGGAGGATGGGGATGATAGCAGGGGGAAGGGGGATGGAGAGCTAGGAGGGGCAAAGGTGTCGCACGGCACGTTTGAGAGGCAGGAGGAGGGCGGACAGGAGGAGGACAGGCAGGAGGGAGGAGACGGAGAGAAGGGGGGAGAAGGTGAGAAGAGGAGTGGGGAGCTGGGCGGAGTGGAGGTGGGGGGTGGGACGTTTGAGCGGGGTGAGGAGGGAGGGGAAGGGGAACAGTCTACAGGAGAGGGTGAGGCGGTGGCAGGCGGTGGTGGTGAGGGGCAGAAGGACGGGGAGGGGCAGCGGGTAGGAGGAGAAGGAGGAGAGAGGAGTGAGGCAAAGACCACAGAAGAATCAGCCACAGCAGCAGCAGCAGCAGCAGCAGCAGCGACGGCAGAGAGTGAAGGTGGGCAGGGAGGGAGGGAGCGAGAGGGAGTGAGCAATCGTAAATGCTATCTTCTGTGAACGCTTTTTCCCACACCCGCACTCGCTTCCCCTACCCTCTTACCTCTCCTCTCCCCACACCCCTCTTGGCGGATGATGAGGAACGGCCAGTGCATGGCAGACGAAGATCAGCTTTATATATTTTCTCCCCGCACCTGCCGCCACCAGTTCCCATCAGCAGCACTGCCCTCCTTTGCCATTCCTTCCCCTCCCTTGCCCTCCTTTGCCATTCCTTCCCCTCCCTTGCCCTCCTTTCCCTCCCTTCCCCTCCCTTGCCCTCCTTTCCCTCCCTTCCCCTCCCTTGCCCTCCTTTCCCTCCCTTCCCCTCCCTTGCCCGTCCTTCATTCCCCATGGCCACGCCAGAGCCCATGATGGATCACATTCCCGGCAGCATGGTGAAGGGCAGGGCAGCAGTAGAGGCAGTGCATCGAGCGCTGGAGTGTGTGGTGAAGGACGGGCGGTGGAAGGCGAATGAGGAGATGAGAGTGCTGCCGTGGAACCGCAACCCCAACAGCGACCCGCAGCTGCCCAACTACGGCACGTGTGACGTGCTGCATGAGACCGAGTGAGTGCTCTATATTTGGGTTGTCTTTGTATACTATGTCTATATTTGGGTTGTCTTCGTATACTATGTCTATATTTGGGTTGTCTATATGGGGTGTTGAGTATACTATTGAGTTGCACCTGCCCAACTACGGCACACGTCTTGCATGATACTGAGTGACTTGATTGGGTCTAATGTGAGTGTTTTGTCAACGATAGAGTGGCACGGGCCCAACTATAGCACGTGTGACGTTCGCCCAGAGCTGCTCTTTGACTGGAATGAGGAACAACCCTCTTCTCTCTCTGTCTTCGTACCCCTCGTAACCCCCCATCCCCACCCCTCCACTTCCCCACTGCATCCCCCACCTCTCCCCCTATCTTCTCCCTATACCCTACCAGGGCGGGTGGGGTGATGGGCGATGTAGCAGACGAGATAGTACGAACAAACGGCAGCCCGGCGGACTGGAAGGTGCGCCCAGAGCTGCTCTTCGACTGGAAGCCGGCCACGGGGCGCGGGTGCCCGCCCTACGTGCCGTTCACGCGCGAGAAGCTGTGCCGCTTGCTCGCCCGCCGCAACGTGGTCATGGTGGGGGACGGCACCCAGCTGCTGCTGCACGATGTGTTTCTCAACAACATGTACTCGCTGCAGTCTGTTGATCAGATGGGCAATTTGGAAGATGCCTGGTGAGTGCCCTTAGAGGAATCTCAAAAGTGTCCCCTCAGAGCCCCTTTCTCAGGTTCACCCCCTTCTCAGGTTCATCCCCTTCTCAGGTTCACCCCCTTCTCTGGTGTGTCCCCTCAGAGAAATCTCAAGAGTGGTTCCAACACAGCCACTGCAGCAGCTGCTGCTGCACGATGTGTTGGTGAGCAACATGCACCAAACGCCTCACCCCCCCCCCTGCACCCCACCCACAGGGAGCGAGAGGGCGAGCCAGACTGTGCGGACGAGGGCCACATTCTCGGCTCGGACGTAAATCCAGCTGGCAGCACCTTCACCTTCCGCATGGTGCACAACAACCTGCTGTCCGCTCACCTGCCTCAAACCCTAGCCCCCCTGTGCTACACCCAATCCAATGTGCCCCCACCTTGGATCCCCTGCTGCCTCACAGGGAGAGCGAGGACCAGGCTGTGCGGACGAGGGCCACACCCTCTGTTCGGACGTGAATCCAACAACCTGCTGTCCGCCCACCTTCCGCATGGTGCACAACAACCTGCTGTCCGCCCACCTGCCCCTAACCCCTAACCCCGACACTTGTGTGCCGCTCACCCCACCCACAGGGAGCGAGATGGCGAACCAGACTGTGCGGACGAGGGCCACACCCTGTGCTGGGACGTGTCACCAGGAGCAACCTTCAGCGTCCGCGTCGTTCACAACAACCTGCTGTCCGCCGACCTGCCGGGCGGCGGCAAGTACAACAAGCGGTGGATCAAGCGTCTGCTCGCTTGGAACGCGTCGGTGGTGATCATCAACAAGGGCGCCGAGCTGCGGCCCAGTGCGTGTGCGTTGCTCCCATGTGCCCTCCCCATGTGCCCTCCCCATGTGCCCTCCCCATGTGCCCTCCCCATGTGCCCTCCCCATGTGCCCTCCCCATGTGCTTTCCATGCTCTCCCTATGCGCCACCCACCGCCATGAGTGCTCTGTATGTTCGTCTGTTCAGCGTGCCATACACCTGTCAGTGGTGATCATCAGCAAGGGCGCCGAGCTGCGGCCCAGTGCATGTGCGTTGCCCCTCTGCTCTTGTCACCTCATGTGCTCCCCATGTGATCTTCGAGTGCTGCATGAGTGCTGTGTGTGCTCTGCGTCTTCACATGCCATACAGCCAGCCCCAACCTGTGTGTAAGTGGTAATCATCAAGGGCGCCGAGCTGCACCCAGTGCGTGTGTGTTTCTCGCACGTGCTCTTGTCGCCCCGTGTGCTCTCCATATGCTTCATATTCTCTTTCTGTTCAATACACCATACAACCCCCACCTGTGCTCTTGTCCTATGCTCTTCCCCATCTGTCTGTCCCATGCCCTGTCTGCCCTGCACTCGTTTTCCCCTATCCCCCCTCCCTTCTATCTGCTCTGTCTGCGTACAGCCAAGCGGTATGTGGAGACGCTAAGAGACACGATGCAGCTGCTGCGGCGCCTGGCACCAGACGTGCTCGTGATGTTCCACAGATTGTCCTAATAAGCATCCCCTACCTCCACACCCCCCGCCTCCCATCTCCAGCCAAGCGATACGTGGAGACCCTAAGGGACACAATGCAACTGCTGCGGCGCCTGGCTCCCGACGTGCTCGTGGTCTTCCGCAGCACGTGGCGCGGCCATGTAGACTGTGGGCGCGCCGAGGGGCCACTCAAGGAAGTACCGGGCAAGGGCGGCGCCACGCTGCCGTGGGACTTTGCCATCGAGCAGAACAATGCTGCCCGCGCCATCATGAAGGTGCGGTGAGGAGAGGTTCAGAGTGGTAGTGTGACGGAGCGGTGAAGGAAGGTTCAGAGTGGTGGTGTGAAGGTGCGGTGAAGGAAGGTTCAGAGTGGTGGTGTGAAGGAGCGGTGAGTGGGCGAGGGAGTGTGCCTGGACTTTAACACGCCCCTCTCTCCCTCTCTGCATCCACCTTCCCCTTTTCCCTTCCCCCTCTTTTCTTCCCACCCCCAGGAGTACGGCGGCGTGTACCTGGACATAGACACGCCCCTGTCGATGCGGCCAGACGGCCATCTGTGCAAGCTGAGTGGAGCCATGGACTGCTACATGTACTGCTTGCCCCTGGAATACCGCCCCCTCCTCCCCACCCTGCATCCACCTTCCCCTCTTCCCTTGCGCCCTCTTTCCACCCCTCACCATTCCAGGAATATGGTGGAGTGTACTTAGACATCGACACACCCCTCTCCATGCGGCCGGACGGCCATCTGCGCAAGCTGAGTGGAGCCATGGACTGCTACATGTACTGCGTGCCGGGCCCGCTGGATATCTTCATGCGCTCTCTGCTCAACATGCTGCTCGTTCTCAAGCAACACGAGTCCCTCTCGTGACACTCTCTAGCAACAGGAGTCCCTCTCATCATGACACTCTTAACAGCACGACTCACGAGGCCTTGTCATGACATGACTGCCCTCCATCGCTCGCTGCTCAACATGCTGCTCGTGATCAAACAGCACGAGTCCCTCTCGTGACAGGATTCCCCCAGTACGGTGACAGAAAAGCAGAACAATCAAGTCGCTCTAGCAGCTCGAGTCCTCATCATGACATGCAGCCAAGTCCCTGTCGGGACGCACTAGCATCATGAGCCTTCATTGTGGTTGATTTCTCACCATCCCTCGTTGCTCAACCTGCTGCACGTATTCAAGCAGCACATGACACCCACGCAGCTCGGCAAAAGAACAGAACATGGGAACATAGAATAGGGACAGAGAGCATCCAGGACATGTGTGGAGTGGGACACTGGGGAAGTTAGGGGGTGAAACGTCCAGGAGTAAATGCAGTCCCCATCGTAGGTAGCTTGACTTGTGTGATAAGTTTTGCTGCAAGCAAGCTTCCTTGGTCTATGATCAGGGCATGAAACAGGACAGGAGCAAATGGAAGAGCTTTCCCGGAAGGAAAAAAAATGAGATAACTGGAGACGCGGGGTATTGATCCCCGTACCTATTGCATGCAATAGGACAGCTTCTCATTTGTGGCCGATTAATTGTCACGATGCAGCTTGTTGTGCATCCCCCTCGTGCTTGGAGACCGTCTCTCCTCGTCCTCCTCCTCCTCTCCCTCGTCGCCTCATCCGCGATCGCAGCGTCGTCGTACGAAGGGTGGGGCGACGCCGACGACGACGCAGACGACGACGAATTCGACGGCCACGATGCATCCGCCGCGCCCGGCGGCACGGGCGCGAGATCGAGCGCGGATCTCGCGCCGAATCCCCCCCCGCGGGGCGTGAGGCGGAAGGGCACGGCAATCCCGGCGGCGCTGGCGGTGGAGCGAAGCTTCACGCTCGGCGACAGCAATAGTTTCTTACCGGGGGGGCTTGTAATGATGCAAGGCGTCATGCACGGCGACGACACCACTGTACGCGTTCACGCCGCTCGCGCCCCTTGCCCCCTCTCGCGCGGATCCACCTCTTCTTTGCCGTAGTCGTCGCTCTTTTCACCCCATCCGCCTCATTCATCCGCTCCGCTCCTTACCATCCGCTCCGCCCTTTCATCCACTCCGGCCCCTTCCATTTCCCCCTCCCCCCCTCTTCCGCCCCTTGCGCGCGCGTGGGCAGTGGGTAGAAGCGACGGTGATCTGGCATCCGCTGACGGCGGGCGAGGCGGGCGCGCTCAAGGCGCTGGTGGCGGCGGACGGGGAGTACCGCGTGCGCCTTGCGCCCAACCCCTTCTCCGCCGCTCCCCCGCCGCAGGGGCACGTCATCGCGTGGGGGCGCGCGGTGAGTTTTGGGGGGACGCCGTGAGGCAGGCAGGGGGGTGCGCGGGGAAGCGATGGGGGGGCAGTGAGGCATGGGTGGGGGGGGCGGGGAGAATGGAGGAAGGGCTTGAAAGGAGGCTTAGAGGGTGTCTGGGTGACCATGGGGCAGTGCGGCATTTGGTGAATCTGAGTGTGGTCAATTTGTGTGTCCTTTTCAGCATCAAACCCCCCTTGCTTTACTCCCTCCAGAATTCCTACCCCCCTTGTCCTACGTTCTCCTGCTCTCCGCCATGCTCGCTGCTTCCCACTCCCATCCACCGTGCAGCATACCCGCCGTCTCATTCCGTATCCCCCTTCCCTTGCCTTTCCTGCCACCCTTGCCATCCCCTCTAACCCCTCTCAACCCCTGCGTCTGCCTCTCAGCGCTGCCTCGCTGCAGCTGGCTTTCGCGACTCGCTGCACCTCCTCTTTGTGAGCTGGCCATTGTTCCATTGCATGCCAGTGCGTCCCAGCATGCCATTGCTTCCCAGCTCTCATGTCATATCATCATGCAATGCAAGCCATCATGCCTTCATACCCAGCCTTTCAAACTACACTTACAATCCCTTAACCGCATGTCTCGAACCTCTCACGTGCTGTTATCTCCGCATGGCATGTGCAGGATGCGGGTGGCAGGCTGACATCAGCCCATGTGAAAGCACAAGCTACCCAGCACCTCCCAATCTCACATCCCCGCACATTACAAGCATGGCTATCAATGCTGTTCCCCCCGCATGGCATGTGCAGGATGCGGGTGGCAGGCTGATATCAGCGCACGTGAAAGCACAAGCCGGGTGCACCCCAGCCGCCACTGCTGCACTCAATGTCGATGTCGATGTGCGGGTTCATGCTGATTTGGGAATTGCTTGGTGCTCACTACTGTCGTGATTGAGTGGCTTTAAGTACATACAAGTGATTGCAAGTGGTGGCAAGGTGTATGTGAGGCGTCTTGTGCCTTGTCACCGCACCACATCTTGCATGCCTTGTCCCTCAACACATGCCTCACATGCCACATGGCCCACATGCCTTACCATGAGCCGATGTGTCATGGCATAGAAATTTATCCCAACCCATCCCATCCCATCCCATCCCACCCCATCCCATCTATTTCTCCCCATCCATTTTGATCCCTTGCCATGCACCACCCTACAGGAGGTGATGGCAGTGCCTCTCATTGTACCCAACTGTGTGCCCATGCCCCATGCCCTTAACCTCATATGCTCCCATGCTTCCATCCCATGCTCCCATCACATGCCATGCACCACCCCACCAGGCGGTGATGGAAATGCCTCTCATCGTACCCAACTGTGCGCCCATGCCCCCATGCCCTCACCCTCCCATGCCCACATGCGCCCATCACATGCCATGCACCACCCACCAGGCGGTGATGGCGGTGCCTCTCATCGTGCTCAACTCTGACGTCACCATCCATGCCAGCACCATCGCCCAACGGTGCGCCCATGCCCATGCATCCAAGCTTCCGTGCCCCCCTTCTTCCATCAGCATACGTCAGCATACACACCTGCACCATTGCAGATAGGTGCATGCTAACAGCATGCATGCATGCTCTCATCCATGCTAGCAGCGTGCGCACATGCCTCTCATCGTGCAGTGCTCCACTTCAACGTCTACATCCATGCCATGCCAGCACCATCTTTAATGGCAAAGGGTCACCCTTTGCCCCACGCCCGCCATGCCAATGCGTCCATGCCTGCATGCGTAATGCATCATTGCTCCCTAGGCCCAACCATGGGTACACCATGCATGCATGCGTGCACGCATACCCCCACCACTTAACCTCATTCCTCTCTTTCGCTCTTCCCTCTCCGTCCCCTCCTCCTGTCCCTTCCTCCCCATCTGCAGCCTGCCTGTGCGCAGGGCCCCAGTGGGGGGAGGCGCGGTGGGGGCAGGGGGAGCAGCAGGGGGGGGCGTGGGCGGAGAGGAGGACCCCATGGCGCCCCCACTGCCACCCAAGACGTTCTGGCAGAAATATGTGAGGCGCAGGGGGGTGGGGTGTGGTGGCATGGGTTTGGCGATGGCATGTGCGGCTAAATGGGGTTGTCATGGGCGTGATTAGAACATGGCACTTGGCACGGCGCATGGCACATTCATGCCCCTCTCTCCTGTCCCTCCCGCAACCCTCTCCCTCCCCTTCCTTGCTGTTTCTTCAGACTACATCCCCCTTCCTTGCTGTTTCTTCAGACTACATCCCCCTTCCTTGCTGTTTCTTCAGACTACATCCCCCTTCCTTGCTGTTTCTTCAGACTACATCCCCCTTCCTTGCTGTTTCTTCAGACTACATCCCCCTTCCTTGCTGTTTCTTCAGACTACATCCCCCTTCCTTGCTGTTTCTTCAGACTACATCCCCCTTCCTTGCTGTTTCTTCAGACTACATCCCCCTTCCTTGCTGTTTCTTCATACTACATCCCCCTTCCTTGCTGTTTCTTCAGACTACATCCCCCTTCCTTGCTGTTTCTTCAGACTACATCCCCCTTCCTTGCTGTTTCTTCAGACTACATCCCCCTTCCTTGCTGTTTCTTCAGACTACATCCCCCTTCCTTGCTGTTTCTTCAGACTACATCCCCCTTCCTTGCGTCCGTCTCTTCCCTTCTGGTGTTCATCATGGCAGGGGGGCTGCTCGTTCTCAACGTCCTCACGGCCCTCGCTGGCCCCGATGCGCTGCTCGCCACTTGAAATCTTATCTCCAATTCCCTACCCTGCCCCTCCCCTTGCTCCTGATGCCAGTGGGTGTTCATCATGGTGGGAGGCTTGCTGCCGCTCAACGTCTTCACGGCTCTCGCTGGCCGCTCACTCAACCCTGCTACTTCATGCCTCTTCTGCTTTCCCCCAACCCCCCACTTCCACTCTGTACCCATAACCACAGTGGGTGTTCATCATGGCAGGGGGCTTGCTCGTTCTCAACGTCTTCACAGCCCTCGCTGGCCCTGATGCCCCGACTGCCACTTTGAACCTCATCTTCCATCCCCCTCCCTGACTGTCCCTGACCGCAGTGGGTGTTCATCATGGCGGGGGGTCTGCTCGTTCTCAATGTCTTCACGGCCCTCGCTGGCCCCGATGCTCCCCCCGCTGCTCAAGGGGGAGGTGCTGGGGGAGGGGGAGCAGCACGGCGTGGGGGAGGGGGAGGGGGAGGGGGAGGGGGAGGAGGAGGGGGTGGTAGACGGGCGTAGGCCTGTATTGGGAGGAGGGGTGTGCCGAGGGGTGCGCAGCTGCAGTTTTTCTTAGGGGAGCCCCACCCCCATGTTGGGAGCTATGCTGTTGAGGGATTCGCTCTCTTGGCTCTTGGGGCTAGGCCGTAGAGAGCACTAGTAGCTCGAATGAGAGCAGAGCAGTATGGTAGTCAAGTCAAGGGGAGGCCTCTGAGAGCCGTTGGACAAAAAGTAGACAGTAGCATCATCGAGTGATGCATAACGGAAGTG